ATGCAAAACGGCTTTAAGGATTTTTTTATTAAAATCTAATACAGTTTATTATTTTTTAAGTCGGTATGGCATATGAGTTTTTAAATGTTAATGGAGAGATGGTGCCTCACACTATTGTCCCGATCACAGGGGATGGAGCTTGCCTGTTCCGATCTCTCTCATATCTTATGTATTACAATCAGTTAATGGCTAGCGATGTGCGTGAACTAATCGTGAAACATGTGGTGGATAATTGGGAGGAATTTTCCATTATGTCTCACGACAGCAAGGGGGACAATTATACCAGCTCTGCTGAATATCTCGCTCACATGTCTCAACCATTTACTTATGGTGGTTTATGCGAGTTGGTGGCGGCTGGTGAATTATTTGGGTTTGTTTTCGAGGTTTACCGCAATGGTGAGCTCTATAAAAGTTTTGGTGTTGAAGGTCACCCTGTTAAGAGGCTGCGCTTTACGCAGGACCTTTCTAAAGGACATTTCGATGCATACGTGCCACGTAAAAATGAAGAATTGACCACTACACCACTCTTTTTTCAGTATGATCATGCCTCAAATATTTCACAACCATCATCTCTTTTTGGTAGCAAAAAGGCTTCTGGCAAACGTCGTGCTAGATATACTAACGTTAAAAGGAAGAAGCAACTTCAAGATGCGGCAAGAAAATATGCGCATAATAACCCTGAGGTGAACAGAGCAGCGGTAACTAGGTACTCAAAAAATAAGCCGGAGGTGCATAGAGCAGCGGTGGCAAGATACCAAAAAAATAACCCTGAGGTGCACAGAGCGATAGAGTTTCGATATGAATTAAGCAATTCTGGAAAACGATTAGAAAGGCGAGCACTTCCGTGGAAGGTAAAAGCTTATTCAGGCATGGCATATGATCCTGATGTGGATTATGAGGCAGACAGCATTATAGCTCTGGGTACCATGAGCCAGAAGTGTAAGTACTGCAATGCCCTTAAGTGGAAGGAGGAGGCTCCTGGCATGTGTTGTAATGATGGAAAGGTGCAGCTTTCACCTTTTCAACCTCTGCCCGAGCCTCTCTACAGTTTGGTAATGGGTAGCCACTCTGAGCACGTCCACTTTATGAATCGTGTTCGGAAGTATAATGGCTGCTTCAACATGACATCATTCGGAGCCAAGCAGGTTCAACAAGACGGCTTCATACCGACCTTTAAAGTTCAGGGGCAGGTATATCACTTGGTAGGAAGCCTGCTGCCAGCATCTGAGCAAGAAGCCCAATTCCTACAAATTTATTTCGTGGGTGAGGACGAAAGGGAAGTCCGCTTGAGATGCAACAATTTTCCAGATGTCAAACAGAAATTAGTTAAAGAATTGCAGAGGATGCTACATGAAGTCAATAGTTACATAAAAGACCTAAAAACTACTATAGAAAAAGTACCTACAATTTGCAAAAATTTCGAAGTTATTATTCATGCAGATAGGAAGCCCATTGATGCTCATGGAGGACGGTATAATGCACCAACAGCAAATGAGGTAGCTTTGGTGATTGTGGGACAGCAATTTGAGCAGCGAGATATTGTGTTGCACAGCCATGACAACACACTAAAGCGTATCAGCGAGATTCATCGATCATACGACGCCTTGCAGTATCCGCTTTTGTTCTGCCGTGGCGAAGATGGGTACTCTATTGCCCTGTCTCAGCGCGATCCTCAGACCAAGTTGCCCCTAAAGAATACAGTATCCGCAGCGAGCTTTTACTCATACCGTATTATGGTCAGGGAAGGGGAAGTTAATCACTTGGTGTACTTCCGTTCACTTTTCAGTCAATTTTTGGTTGATATGTATGCTAAAATAGAGACTGAAAGGTTGAATTATATTAGGAATAACCAGGTGCAGTTGAGGGCAGATAGTTACATTCATTTGAGAGACGCCATGGGAAAGCAAGATGCTGACGTTGCTCAGATGGGTCAAATGGTGGTGCTTCCGTCATCATTCACTGGAGGACCACGCTATATGCATGAGCGAACTCAGGACGCTATGACATACGTCCGTTTTTATGGTCGTCCTGATCTGTTTATTACTTTTACTTGTAATCCAAAGTGGAAGGATATCACAGATGTACTGCTTCCTGGCCAAAAATCTCACGATCGACACGATATTATAGCTAGGGTATTTCATCTCAAGGTGAAGAAAATGATGGCTCTTTTAAAAAAGGGTGATTTGTTTGGAAAAGTGACGTGTTTCATGTACTCTGTGGAATGGCAAAAACGAGGTTTGCCTCATATTCACATCTTGCTGTGGCTAGAGCAGCGCATCTTTAATAATATGATCGACAAAGTCATATGTGCTGAAATACCTGATCCCGTGAAAGACTCTCTTCTTTATAATATTGTCAAGGCCAATATGATTCATGGGCCCTGCGGGGGCTTAAACCGTAATTCGCCATGTATGAAAGGAGGCAATTGCAGCAAGAGGTATCCCAGGCAACTTCTAAAGGACACTCAGACAGGAAACGATGGATATCCGCAGTATCGGAGAAGGTCTCAAGCTGATGGTGGATTTACCGTAAAAATCAATGAAATAGAGCTGGACAATCGTTGGGTGGTGCCCTATAATCCTGTTTTGTTACGTACTTTCAATGCTCATATTAATGTGGAATTATGTAATTCAGTTAAATCTATAAAGTATATTTGTAAGTACGTGAATAAGGGCAGTGATCAAGCGACTTTTGCCTTAGAGAATAAGAGGGATGAGGTAAAATTGTACGAGAGTGGACGGTATATTAGCAGCTCAGAGGCAGTTTGGAGAATCTTGGCGTTTCCTATTCATGAGAGGTATCCTGCTGTCTTTCATCTAGCTGTACACCTCGAGAATGGTCAGCGTGTATACTTTAATTCCAAAAACTTAGTTGAGAGGATTAGTAATCCACTTCAGACAACACTCTTGGCTTTCTTCGAGCTGTGCAAAACCGACGATTTTGCAAAAACTCTTTTGTACTGTGAGGTTCCTTTTTATTTTGTGTTTAAAAATAACAAGTTTGAGAGAAGAAAGCGGGGAATGAATGTCGATGGCTGGCCAGGAATAAAGAAGGACAATGTGCTGGGAAGAGTGTATACCATCCATCCAAATAACACAGAGTGTTATTATCTTCGCATGTTACTGTATGAGATTCGAGGTCCAACATCATTTTTAGAATTGAAAACTGTAAATGGTGTTGTCTGTTCCACATTCCAGTCTGCATGCAAGGCATTAGGTTTGCTGGAAGATGACAAACACTGGGACAATACATTGGAGGAAGCTGCTTTGTGTGATTCTTCCTTCAAGCTGCGGGAGCTTTTTACAGTGATGTTGGTATTCTGTCAACTTAATGAGCCTATGAGTCTTTGGGAAAAGTATAAAGACAGCTTTTCAGAAGATATTACACGACAAGTGGAAAGAGAGTTGCAAAGCAGTGCGCAGCAGATAATGGACGAGGTGTATAACAGATGTTTGGTGATGATTGAAGACGCAGTATTGGCTTTGGGAGGACAGGAGTTACAACAATATGGTCTGTCTCAGCCAAAAAGGTTAGGAGAAGTTTTGAGAAATCGGGATTATCTGAGAGAAACAAATTATGATGTAAACATCTTAGCACAAGTGGTGTCGAATAACGAGGGTTTACTAACAGATGAACAGTTCGCTGTCTATCGGCAGGTCCTTAGCAGTATTGAATTAAGTGCTGGTCAGGTCTTTTTTCTAGATGCTCCAGGTGGTACTGGAAAAACTTTTCTCATTAATTTACTTTTGGCAAAAGTAAGAAGTGATTGTGGCATTGCCTTGGCTGTTGCATCCTCTGGCATTGCTGCTACGCTGTTAGAGGGAGGCAAGACTGCTCACGCTGCTTTTAAGCTGCCCCTCAATCTAAACTATGTAGAAACACCCTTGTGCAATATTTCAAAACAAAGCAACATGGCCCAAGTGTTGCGGGACTGTAAGCTCATTGTTTGGGATGAGAGCACCATGGCACATAAAGGGGGTTTTGAAGCATTGAGTACAACCTTAAAAGATATTAGGGGTAACGATGGAGTGATGGGGGGAGTCACTGTGTTGCTGGCTGGAGACTTCCGACAGACTTTGCCTGTAGTGCAAAGGGGAACTCGAGCTGATGAGGTTAAAGCATGCATTAAGGCATCATATTTATGGTCTCTTATCTGTAAACTCTCTCTCAAAAAGAATATGAGGGTATATTTGAAAGGTGATGTCTCCGCGGGGCAATTCTCGAAAATTTTACTTGAAATAGGAGATGGAAAATATCCCGAGTCTGAGGGAAAGGTGATTATTCCAAAATGTTTGACACATTCATGATTGTATCCTTACTTAGTCACATTCC